CTGGTGAAGGCCTGGCTCCAGGTTCACAGGCAGCACCCGCTGGTGTCACATGGCTGAAGGGCAAGGGAGCTCTCCAGCATCTTTCTCAGAAGGGCACCAGTTTCATTCATGAGGCCTTCACCTTTATGGCTCCTAGAGGTCTCACCTCTAAATAGCATAATACTGGGAATTAGAATTCCGCATACTGATTTGCAAGTGACACACTAATATGCCAGCCTCACACACAGCATTGGGAATGTTTCATGATAGGTTTTGTGTGTTAGGTATTCTGGTAAGTTTCATAGTATTAATGAGCTATTATAAAGATTTTTTTAAAAATTTTTTTATTGATTTTTTTAAAAAAATAAATGAGCAGAATGCATTACAATTCATATTATATGCACACAGCACAATTTTCATATCTCTTGTTGTATATGAAGTATGTTGACACTAATTTATGTCTTCATACATGTACTTTGGATAATGATATCCATCACATTCCATCATCCTTGCTAATCCCTGCCCCCTCCCTTTCCCTCCCACCCCTCTGCCCTATCTAGAGTTCCTCTGTTCCTCCCGTGCTCCCCCTCCCTGCCCCACTATGAGTCAGCCTCCTGATGTCAGAGAAAACATTCAGCATTTAATTTTGGGGGATTAGCTAACTTCACTTAGCATTATATTCTCTAACTCCATCCATTTACCTGCAAATGACATGATTTTATTCTCTTTTATTGCTGAGTAAAATTCCATTGTGTATATATGCCACATTTTTTTTTTATCCATCCATCAACTGAAGGCCATCTAGGTTGGCTCCACAGTTTAGCTATGGTGAATTGTGCTGCTATAAACATTAATGTGACTATTTTTAAGTCTTTTGAATATGAACCAAGGAGAGGGATAGCTGGGTCAAATAGTGGTTCTATTCCCAGATTTCCAAGGAATCTCCATACTGCTTTCCATATTGACTATACCAATTTGCATTCCCACCAGCAATGTATGAGTGTGCCTTTTACCCCACATCCTCACCAACACTTATTGTTGTTTGCCATTCTGACTGAAGTGAGATGATATTTAGAGTAGTTTTGATTTGCATTTCTCTATTTACTAGAGATTATGAACATTTTTTCATATATTTGTTGATTGGTTGTATATCCTCTTCTGAGAAGTGTCTGTTTAAGTCCTTGGCCCATTTGTTGATTTGGTTATTTGGTTTTTGTTTGTTTGTTTGTTTGTTTTGGTGCTTAGCTTTTTGAGTTCTTTATATACCCTAGAGATTAGTGCTCTATCTGATGTGTGAAAGGTAAAAATTTGCTCCCAGGATGTAGGCTCTTTGTTCACTTCACAGATTGTTTCTTTTTCTGAGAAGAAACTTTTTAATTTGATTTCATCCCATTTATTGATTCTTGGTTTAATTCTTGTGCTATAGGAGTCTTATTAAGGAAGTTGGGGCTTAATCCCACATGATGAAGATTAGGGCCTACTTTTTCTTCTATTAGACTCAGAGTCTCTGGTTTAATTCCTAGGTCCTTGATCCACTTTGAGTTGAGTTTTGTGCATGGTGAGAGATAGGGGTTTAATTTCATTTTGTTGCATATGGATTTCCAGTTTTACAGCACCATTTGTTGAAGATGCTATCTTTTCTCCAATACATGTTCTTGGTACCTTTGTCTTATATAAGATAGTTGTAATTTTGTGGGTTAGTCTCTGTGCCCTCTATTCTGTACCATTGATCTACGAGTCTGTTTTGGTGTCAATACATTGCTGTTTTTGTTACTGTTGCTCTGTATTATAGTTTAAGGTCTGGTATAATGATGCCACCATCTTCACACTTCCTGCTTAGAATTGTTTTAGCTATTCTGGGTCTCTTATTTTTCCAGATGAATTTCATAATTGCTTTTTCTATTTCTATGAGGAATGCTATTGGGATTTTGATCAGAATTGCATTAAATGTGTATAGTGCTTTTGGGTAGTATGGTCATTTTGATAATATTAATTGTGCCTATCCAAGAGCAAGGTAGATCTTTCTGTCTTCTAAGGTCTTCCTTTAGGGTTCTTTAGTTTTCACTGTATAGATCTTTCACCTCTTTCATTAATTCCCAAGTATCTCATTTTTTTTGAGGTTATTGTAAATAGGGTTGTTTTCCTCCTTTCCTTCTCAGAGGATTTGTCACTGATATACACAAATGCCTTTGATTTATGGGTGATCTTATGTATCTACATCGAATTTTATAATTTCATATCTCTTTCACATTCTTTACCTTATTTTATTTTTCCCAACCATCTTGCAGGATGTACCAGGTGATTAAACCCTTATGTTCATAAGGATATAAATTCCCCAAGAAGAGAGAGAGTGAAATTTATTGTTGTTTTATATAGTCCTTATAACATCTAGTAGAGGGATTTTTACTCTCAGCTTCGCACCTTTAGCTGATTTCTTCATTCATAAATATATGAATTTATATATGTAAATATAAATCATTTATATATGAATATATACAAATTAATCAAACTTTGGGTCCATATTTCAAAATAAAAACTTACCAGAAGGAACTGGACTTAAATGGTTTAATAAACCAGATAAAGGTGAGGAACTGAGAGTAATCAATGCTTCATGCAAGATGTTACAAAAATTTTATAAAATAGCAAGAAATGTTATTGCCTTCCCCCAGAAAGATTCAACCCATCTTGGAAATAAGGTATGTGATTATGGTTTCAAACAGTGTTCAGTGATAAAAAGCTGTGGGAGCCTCTTCTCCGTTCAATATCAGGAGGTGAATCAGTCTTTAATTAGGAAGCCAGCAGAACTGTGACAACCACACCACACGGGGGAGGAGCTGTACACACTGTAGATGTTCTTCAGATCTTTGGCTTTAGGAATAATTAACTTTTTGGCTGGAGTATAAATACAGAGATAATTAGGTGACCTTGAAACTTTCCTTCATTATTAGTCAATATTTTCTAAAATAATCCACCTACCCAGAGTTTCATGGTCTTTGTCAGTAGAACAGGGACTAGATTTTCTATAAGAAGAATTCCAACTCTCACTAAGATCTTGTCATTCTTTCTGGATGTAGAACTCATCTGGATTTCTCAGCCTCTCCTGTAATTCAGTAAGGCCATGTGACTAGGTTTGAGACAATGGATTATGAGAGGAAGTTATGTGCACCACATCAGGTTTTGGCCCACAAGGCTGTCCAGACTGTGCCATGTTTACTTCCTCAGCTAAAATAACAGGAATTGAGTTAGCCTTGGAACCAGTACATTGAATATGGCAGAGCCAGTAAGTTCCTGAGTCCCTAAAAGACCACACAAGGGAGAAATATACTCCCTACTTCCAAACGGCAACCACCTCTGCTGACCTGGAATATCCTGGCTAGATTCTCAGGTGAGAAGGAAAGTAACTTTGTATTTGAACTACTACATTTTTAGCTTCTTTTGTGCAGCTGTTGAACCACATAAACTAATATAAATGATAAGGTGCTCTTTAATTGTGAAGGATAATTTTTCTCCAGTATAATTATTCTAAGCTCAGTTCTCTGGCAGTTTAATTTTTATGGTATATGTCAACTTAAGTCAACCTGTTTATTTTAATAACATGTTGTTCACAGGAATGAAAATCTCTGTTCTACCACTCGGCAATTTCTCTTAAAATATAGCTTTTATCACTTCAATTCAAAAGCAAGGAAAGTCAGTGGCTCCTAACTCCAACTCTACACACTTTGGCAAGATCTGATGTGAGAAATAAAGTAGTCACACCCTGTGCAAAGAGGTAGTTTATGGAATAGTTTGACTACTATTTAAAGCCAAATAAACTGAGATCCAGAGAGGGTGATTTAGGTTTATCAAGGAAGCACACCCCAATTAGCCTGGCTACTTTTAAAAGAACATTGGTGGGGAAAGACACCATATTGAAATTTGTTAAATGTGCTCTTTTGGAATACAATCGATACATATGGGCTTCTGGCCTCTCCTGCTCTGATGCATCCCAAATATCACTTTCACATTACTCTTCATGAAACACCACCGATTCTGGCTTTTCCCAGTATCAAGAAGTTACATCACCTCTCTGCTCTTCTTGAACCTGTCCTTTAAGAATCCCCTCCATGACCTGTCCCTACTTGCCCTCTACCTTATTTCCCACCATTCTCCCTCCATCTCTTCCTCTTCTCCACATTCACCAAACTTGTGATGTTCTTAACACTCCTGCCTGAAGTTCACTCATCTCTGCTTCTGCACCCCTCTAAGTCCTGCTCAGGTGGATTCTACCTATGCTAATATTGGAAGATGATGCTAAAAATTGCAGCCACATCAATGCTTTTTCATTTCTGAAGTCAATGGCCTTGCACCTCAGTACTACCCATGGCTGCTTCATTATTCTCTACTTTGTTTTAAGCATTTCTCTTTCGTTGTCTATTGTGGATTTAAATTCCACAAGGAGAAAAATTTTCACATTAAGAGACACCACAGTTGACACCAAGATATCAAGGGAGTGTGGTTCTAATTCTGGACCTTCTACTGACTCAACTTGAGAAAGTTACTTGAGATCCCTGGTCCTCATTTCCGCATTATTAGAAATAAATTTGAATAAACTATCCAAGCCTATCATTGGAATAAATATACTTTATATTCATGTGGTCACTGATTCCATTTGTCAGCCTCTGATAAATGTCACACGTGACTCTAGCTACTGAGAATTCACTGGCCATTTATTTTATTTGCTTTTCATAATCTAGATGAAAAAGTTTGCTTTGGAAAGTGGTAAGCTCCCTGCAATTGATACCATTCAATCAGAAGCTAATGAGGAGTTTGCTCAGAAGTAGTGGAAGTTGCAGCAAGGACCAGTAGCCTGCAGAGGCTTGAACAGATTGTGCTGTTGAGGAGTTAGGGTGCTGCTCATAATTCCTTTGGAGTTCTGACAAATAAGGTACAGTCACAGGGACCATTTGTAAAACAGGAGGCAAACTATCAACTGGTGTGTGCTAGTCAGCTCTGGCTACTATAACAAAATGCCCTAGGCTGGGTGCCCAAACAACAGGTGTTTATTTCTCATAGTTACAGAGGATGAAAGTCAAAGATGGAGACACTGACATACTCAATTCCTGAGAAGAGCCCTCCTCCTGAATTGAAGACACCCACTGTCTCCTTGTATCCTCCCATGGGGCGGGGGGAGAGAAAGCATGGCTCTTTCTTCCTCTTCATCTTCGAACTCAAATCCCATCATGGAGGTCCACTCTCATGGCCTCATCTAAACCTAATCACCCAATGGCTCCACCTCCAATGCCATCACACTGTGGTTCAGGCTTCAACACGTGAATTTTGGGAGACACAAACATTCAGTCCATGGCATGTTTTGATCAACTAATATAAATTAATCGCATTTGTACATGACTATATATAATCATATACATAACAATTAAATACAAATTCATAATAGTCATGCAGGCATTAGATATTCCGCAACCCAGTTCTGATAAAATGTGGACTGGAGAATGTGACTAGTAGGTCAAAGCCCCCTCTCGCCTAGCAAACACACCTTGAGGGACATTGACGGGGTGGGTGCAGAGGGAAAATGAGCCTGGAGAACAACCTGAGTGACCTTTCCCAAATCAGATGCATAAAGAGGACCAAGGTCCACCTCTGCTATTAGGAGAGGAGACAGGTCTCTACCTGCTTTAACTTTCCATGGAGTGAACCCATTTCACAGTCTAAGCATGAGCCAAGGAAGACACCTCCAATAAAGGGAAGGGAACACCACAAATGATCCTTGCATTCTCCCCTATCAATGTAGGAGGTAAGGAAATGATTCACTTCCAGTCATTCCCAGCATCCTTCAAAAATAGAATATCAAGTTTAATCTTCTACAGCATCTAGCACAATAGAGGGCTAACGATCAGACCATCTTTGTGCCACAATGCCAGGCCCATAATAAAATAGGCCTCCATTGCCATCCATGGTCCATGTACCTGTCCTAAAAGAGCTGCAGAAACTTCTGTGAATTAGGTCCCCATCTGTCATGGTAAGCATCTAGCGCATGGCCTTGCACTGCTGGGTTCTCCGTTCCTAACTTCAGGCCCAATGCATTTCAAGGTCTCCCTCCATCTCTGCAACCCCAACCCATCCTGGAAAATGCTCCAGTCTAGTCCCAGCTTCTCATCCAGGACTCTTGCCCAACTCCCTTCCCTGTGCCTTTGAGGACATCCCTTGAAGCAAACCCAGACATGGGAGAGGAGTCCAGTAAACGGCTGCTCATTTTAACATCATTCACCATCTTGAATAGTTCAGAGCTGAGTAATAAGCTAGTCTTTACCTCCCTTTTCTTTAAATTCCTAATAGTAACAGTAACATAAAAATCAACTGCTCACTATAATTGAAGTGTCTGCAAATGAACTTACATGCACTATGTTCTTTGACCCTCAGTGCAACCTCTATGCTACACACTTCTATCGTCAGCCCTCTTTTATAGTCAGAAACCAAGGTTCAGAAAGTCTGGGACTTTGGCCAAGGACCCACAGCACATAAGAGGTAACAGAGCACAAGTTACCCTGTGTCTTTACAACTTTAGACCCTAACCCTGCACTCTTCGTGAAAACACTGAGCCTTGCCCTCAAGCCTTCCCCTTTTCTTGGGTGATGATGTGGTCTACATCATACCTGGAGGATTATGAAACCCTCCCTTTTCATGTTCTGCTACTGTTCTCCCAAACACTTCTATCTGTCTTCCTTCACTGGGTCAGAGTGCCCAAGAAGTAGAAAGGCAGTTTCCAGCTCCAGCAGTGGGGACCATGCACAAGTTATATAGCATTGATGATTTGTACCTTCTCGTCTGCAAAATGAGAATAACCTCCCAGCTTTGTCTTCTCCAGCCAATTACCTAAAGTCATGTGAAGGTTCAGCAAGATGATGCATGTGAGAGCATCATGAGAACACAGAACAGCCAACACAAAATAAGATGCACTAGGACACTTGTCCTGCGTCTGCTGAGCATCAACACAACCCAGAGGGCTTGGCCTGTGAAAACCCAGACTGCTGGAGCCCATCCTCAGATTCTCTGCTTGGCTGTCTGGGATGGGTCTGGGAATTGACAGTTCTAACAGTTCCCAGCTGCTGCTGCTGCTGCTGGTTACCAGGCACATTTGAGAGCTACCTCCCTATGTCAATCTCCTCCCTGATCAGAGTACTATCAAAGTCATCTCCTTCTGTGTGAAGGAGGGTGATGGTGTGCATTGAATTTTGATCCCTAACAACCACCCTAGGAACACCTCAAACACACAATAGGAAACTGTCCTTCTCAGGGAAGTTATTTATACCCTGCTAGGCTCCTGATGGGTTGACTGGAGGTGTCAAGCTGGGGAGCCCTGGTGAGAGCTGAGCACCAGGGTGGATGAGATGCACAGGGAAAGTTACAACAGCCCCCAAACAGAATGGGAGCATGAGTCACAGCGGGAGATCTGAGAAGCAATATTATGACAGAGAGGACTGCAAGGCCAGGGACAGCTAGCTCAGCGACAAACTCTCTCATCCTCAGGAACAAAAGCACATCATGTGCTTCGAGCAAACCTCCAGGGAATGTTCTAGCCCAGATCTGCTGACAGGCTGGCGGGAGTTTTTCTCTTCTGCAGTGAGGGAGCCATTCTCCCGGATGCCTTTCAGAGGGTGGCTGTGGCCGACAACATGGTCATTTCCCCTGGAAATGTCCTCTCCTTCTCTCGTTCTCATTCACCATCCTGTGCTCCCTAAAGGAGAAAGAGAGAAAGAAAATGAAGAGCGATCCTCCACGTGTTCCTCCGGCCATCGCATGACCATGGGTCTGGAACACCAGGTCGGGGTCCAGGGGCAGCCTCTCTCTTGCCCGACTCAACTGCCCACAGGGGGCTGCTGCGGTTCCAGGTGACGAGGGCACTTGGTAGCCCGGTGCCCCAGCTGTGGGCACCGAGGTGCCACTATTATGTGGATTAAGCACTGTCTCCTCTGTGTTATGGGAAGACTGGGACTGGGACTAAGACGCCTGTCGGTCACTCGACGGCCATGGCTGTCCCCAGAATCTCCATGGGGAATGGGGCAAGGGCAGAGCCAGCCACCCTTGCTGCTCTTCCTTGATATTCTGCCTCCAAAGCCCTCTGGGGTATTCTACCGCCCTCTTGCCTGGTCACAGAACAGTCTGGACTCTTCAGATATGCAAGTGAATCATTTTCCATCCATCAGAGATGAGACTTAAATAAATAAAAAGGTACTTCGTGGGGCGGCTGGGCCTAATGATAAGCAATTATAGGAAGCCAAATGAAGGCAGTGCTTTGTGCGGGGCCTGTGAAATTGGTTAAGCAAAAAGAATAATGGCCCGTTTCGGTGATTCATCCCTTTGCTCATTTCAGAGGGAGCATTATCTCAGTTAAGTGATGCAATTAATATGAAAATGAGGGAATCATTGTTTAAGGAGATGAGGGGAGAGTGGGGAGGGGGCCTGGATGCCACAGTGGGGAAGAATAAGGGCCAGCAAGATGGAGATTTGCATAGGTCAGTAGCAACGTGACGCCTTCAGCGTGCATTCAAAGCTGAGCTTGCATTGTGATACGTCGCCATTAAATTCTCATTACGGTGACCTGTGTCCAGCACAATTCAATTTTTCAGAATCTTAATGATAAAAAGTTAATTACTTTAAGGTGAAAACCTTTTGTACTGGGCCCTAAAATAAAACACAGAAAGGGCACTGTGAGTCCCTTCAGGACACTGCAGGTAGAGCCAGGGAGGCTTAATTTACTGTTTTATTAACCATTACATGATTTGCAGGTTGATTTTTTTTTTGTAAGCTTTGCAGATCTTTTGTAACAGAGTCAAGAGTGATAAATAGGGTACTTGTCTTCTCTTCACTTTTTTTTCCCTTCCTAGGTTCTCTGTTGGTATTTTTCCACTCAGTATCATCCAGAAAATCTTCCAAGGACTGGTTGACATCCTTGGACATAGAGTGGGAAGAGAAGAGGGAACTTGAGTGCAGCATGTGACAAGGAGAGCTGGGAACCCGGAGCTGTCTGGCGTGACTCTGACGACAGGGATGCATCATCTCCTGGTGTCCGGGTGCCCAAGACATTTCCTTCCCACAGGACTCCAAGCAGAGGGGAAAGGGACAGAGCCTGGTTTCACATCTAGCTTCTGCTGTCTTTCTGCTCTGTGTCCCTGAGCCAATGACCTGACTTTCCAGAGTTTCAGCATCCTCCTCGTGGTGTGAGAAGGATGATGTCACCTTCTTTATAGGAACTGTGGAGAGGATTTGACATCAAGCACATCCAGGGGTTCATACCAGGTTGTGGGCGGGGGGGGGGGGAGAAGAGAATCATTATGGTCCTCATCGTTACCAGGGCGTCAGAACTTACATCTCACCTGTGAGAGGGATGCAGTTGGCATCGGTTCCCCTCCCACACTGAGCTTCCATTTCTTCTTTTTTAAGTCCATAAGGTCAATCGTGATTTTTAGGTCCTGACAATCTAGACCCTGCTGACTCCATTCAACACCAGAAATCCTCAAAGTAGGGGAAGCTGATAGGTTTCTCAAACTAGCATAAAAACAGTGAGGATCAAGGAGCAAGAGAAGTGACTAGGCCCACCGGAGGTGGGATGGACAGGTAGAGAAACATCAACCCAGAGGAGATGTCCAGGCCAAATCACTGCCAGCCAATGGACACGAAGACAGCACGGGAACGGCACCTTGGATGCTTCGGTCAGCTGAAGGGACATATGTAGGACTTCCTTCCTTTGAGACTCTAAACAGTCAACTAAATAGTGTCCCCACTTCTAGTCTTCTGCAAGAGGACAGTTGCCCTTTAGAGCAATAGAAATGATCGTACTAATACGGAAGGCAATAAAAGGAGCTGTGATTCTTGGTGTTCATTTTGTGTTCTTTATGGTGCAGAGAATCCTTCACAATCATCCACACTAAGTCCACAAAACAAAGAGAGATAAAAAAAATATATTCATCTATACATATAAATATTTAAATATATAAATATATGTAAATATAATACATACATTTATTCAAGGGAAGTATGTATATAGGCACGTATGCACGTATGTATGTATGTACATATATATGTTTCTTTAGTAGCAGGAAAACCTAATTTACAATTCTGGCATCTTGATGAATACACAAACTCCCACAGATACTGACCCAGACGCACCACTATATCCACCTCGGAGGCAGAACATTTAGTGAGATGACACAACGTGCCACAGGTCCTACTCTAAACACCTCCAGCAGAAGTTTCCCACAGTGGGCTCCACTGTGGAGACCAGGAAAAATTCCAAGACCTGAGAGCACCATATCAAAGAGAGAGGGCAGGCATATGCAACCGGAGCAGCATAAAAGATTCCTTATGCAGGGGGAAGAAGGTGTGTTCATAAAATGAGCAGCTGGGGGGGGGTGCAGTTTGAAGATATAAAAGAAATTAAAAAAAAAAACCTGACAGTGAAATACCAACTATTAAAAAAAGAATAGGGTATCAGAGAATAAAGTTGAAACAGGAGGAAGACTGAAATCAGAGCCTCCACCTGCACCTGCACTTGTCTGGAAGCCACTGGTATGCTTCCTGCTGGGACCCAAAACATGCCTGAATCCATTTGTGAGCCTCAGGAACTCGTGACCAAGAGGCATATCCCAAAATAGTAACCCTGGACTTATGAAGGAATTTATCTCATCTTCAACCAATTTGACTCATTTTTTGGATCAAGACATTGGATCTTAAAGATACTCAACATTCTGTGCTGGGGGGTCCTCAGCATGGCTTAGCATGCAGATCCCCTGGGCAGTCTGCAAGGTCCATGTGCCTGGATGAGATGCCTGGAGCTGAAGCTGGCCATCAGTGTTTTCAGCAAGTGGTCCACAAAATTCTTATGACAGCCAGGAAGACGCCTGCAGGACACAAGCAAATTGGGGAGCACTCTTCTTTGGAGCCCAAAATGATCTATTTCTCTAAAAGCCCAACACTATATATGTGCCCTTGTCTGTTAACCTTCCTGAAACACTTTTTACAAACAAATTTATTCATTAAATAGGGGTTTACTGAGTATGCACAATGATGATAAGTGAAGAATGAGGTAGAATCCCTGATCTCTCTCAAAGAACAGAAAATGTGGTGTGGTTCAGGCCTAGGGGCTAGGAATACAACAGATCTAGGAGGATGTACAGCCTCGTACAGAGAAGGAGGCTGTGGAGTTGGACCTCCATCTTCTATGATCGAGAACAACTTCATGAAAGACATGGAGTGGGACCTGGGCCTTAAAGATGAGCCAGATTTAAAGTATAGGTGGAAGAGGGAGAAATGCTCCTTGCTGAAGAAATGCCACAAGGAAGTTCAGGAAGCAATGAGAAGGCACGTGTGTGGGGACCAGGGCCACTGGCCTGTGGAAGGCACATCGTCTGCGACAGATTGTGGCAGGCCTTGGGCCTCTCACAGGATGTCAAGCTATTGCTGGCAGGCTCTGTGGTGACAGGAAAGGTGTTTAAGGATGAGAGTGGTCCTGATTCAAACCCTGTTGTGGGAATTGAAGTTTTCTAAAGTATAAACCAAAAAATCCAAGAGGCAGAGGACCAGAAGAGGAGGCATCATGGGGTTGACTATTCATGGTCCCAGTGAGAACATGCAGCCTGAACAGGGACAGGTGCTCCAGGAGTGGGCGGGAGGGGCTAGGCCAACTGCCATCTCATGTAGGCCACTTACAAGATGTGCGCCCTTGGGCAAAAGCAGTTCATCTCCCTGGGACTCAGTGTTCCCCTCTGCAAATGAGATGAATTTACCTGTCAATTCTCCTTCTCAGGATTATTATGGCGTGTGTCATCACAGAAATCCTGCAAAGGGCTTCATAAGTACACAGAATCGTTGACATTAGAGATGATTCAAGGTGTCTGTCCAAGGAAGGGAAGGCCACAAGAGACGATGGGGAGACCAGCAACTCCGCAGGACTGAAGGCCGCTCCCGCCCTTTGCTCACACCCCCATCACGTGTGGGTTGATGGAAGCTCTTATCAAGTCTCTCCACACACAATTCAGACAACCCTAAATCAACCGCCGTTTCTTTGTCTTAGTCATTTTGGGCTTTAAGCTCATCTTTTACAACACTAATGCATCTTAGCTCACAGATTCTCCCACTAGGCACACATTCCAGCAGCTGGGTTTATTTAGAAAGTAACAGAAAAAATCCACCTCTTACCTGAAGCTTAATATCTGTAGGCAAATGAGTGAATGGTACAGATTTTCTTATTAAGCAAATGAACCGTCTTCCCTGACAGGAGAAAAAGAAGCCGGTACAAAATGTAGATCCTTGGGGACAAGACTTGGGCTGTTGTGCTGAATGTGTATTTCATTCTTCCCCTGTCAGGCAAAGGTGTCTGCAGGAGGGGACTATTCAGCATTTCAGTGATGTATCTGCCTTCAGCAGGAGACCTTGAGGGGCTTTCAGCAGGAATTTTCACCGAGTTCTCCACTTGCCCTCCATTCGTCTTTTCTCCCTCATCTGTCCCCAGAGCTCCCGCTAAGCCCCTCTCCCAAAGCCCAATCATTTGCACATGAATACCATACAGAAACCTCAGGCTCCAAACACCCCCACGCTGAAGTTTTTTGGCTCCAACCTCGGCTCTTCCCCTGTTTGCTTTCTGAAACGCCCATCAACAACCCACTCCCCCAGCTCACAGTCCTCATCTAAGCCTCACTCTTAACCCCAAAGTCCCTCTGGTACTGCAGTGGTCCTGAG